GAAAGAGAGAGAAAAAAAAACACACACATCAATATATAGCATGCCCCTACTGCATCTACTGACAGATGCACGCAAGCACCGAACCAACTGAACTGGCTCTAAAGAAGACCATGCAAAACATAATTAACTAATGTACTGCGTTAAGCATGAAGTATATCAGTTTTAGAGACTCTTGGTACTTTTTGTACGTCATAATGATAAATGCTTAATCCAATGGCATTTTTTATGATCAGATATATTTCAACAGGTCTAACATGGAATATATTTTCTAGTCTGTAAATTATATTGAATTCAAGACAAATCGTACTACAGACCCGGTGCTTTTTTTTTTCTCCCCCCCTTATTATTTAATTTATATTGTTTACAGTATAAGCATTAATTACTGTGGTAGGTTATTGACTAGTGTGCCCTTATTATGTCATCCCAATGGGCACTGTAATAATTCAGAGCCAGTGAGGAACAATCGAACTCCAATACGTGTGACAGAGCCAATCGCACTTCATTAGTGCACCATGATGTCATATTAAACCTCATCATTTAGCATGCCAAGATTAACGAACCTGACACGATGTGGGGGGGGAATACAAAAGTGTCTCGTCACTGACCATCATTTTAAATTGCCATGATGTCTGATATGTATTGCCCTCGGCAGATTTCCCATCATCCATGTAATCGGACTCAAATCCACTGACAATCGATGCCGAAACGCACACGGCTGGAACTGGAACTGTCAGACACGGTGGGAAGTCAGTGGGATGCAGCGACTACTCACACCATGGGATGTAGTAGGAGTTATTTGAACAGTACTGCACAAATAGATAGATTCTCAAAGACAGTGACATGAACCTTTAAACCTGCAATAATAAATGCTGAGGTTTCACTTCCATATTATTATTAGCTTGATAATAGAACTGGATATAAATAGAGACAACTAGATGACAATACTGACAAAATTTTGTTGTTTTTCAGTTGTTGATTGTACTCATTTACACTGTTGCATTAAACAGTTTTATAGGTTATAGGTATGTTTTCTAAAAATTCGAGACCCCCCCCCCGCCAAAGATCATTCTTCGGTTACAACTAGATGTGTTTCCCCACACACTAAGCCAGCACTAACATTTCCAACAGCAGGAAAATGGAAAGTGAACTACTTGAACCTTCCGGACCCAAGTCCGCTTCCCTTCCTTAACCACTAAGCCACCACCGCCCCAAAAGTTCAGTTGCTGGTGGAGAAATACAGAAAACAAAAGATTGATTCAATCAATCAAACAATCAACGAATCAATCAATCAATGTATGTATTCTGAGCCTGTTTACATATCTGCCCTGGTCTTAACTTCATCAGCACACACTGCATGTCATCTCATTTTGATCGATTCTCTATATCTCCCGAATGTTCATTTACTGCTGAAGTAGTCATGAGCTTGGAGCTCCACCAGGGGGAGTGAGTGCACAAATATTTACAGAGAAATGCAAGGCCCAGGCTTCATGAACTAAACATGGCAGAACGGCACTGTACTGAAAGCTCTCCTGTGAAATTTATGAGTAAATATATAATATACATACATATATATATATACACATATATATATATATGTATATATATGCGTATATATATATATGTATGTATATTATATATTTTTTTTATTTCATCAACAATAAAAGGTACATTTTGAACAAACGTCTCCAGAGGAGTTCCGTAGGTCAGACTGTTTTCTCTAGAGTCAAGGTTCATCTTTATCTTGAGTGGTAATATTGATCTTGTTAATACTCAAGAAAAAAAAAATTTTTTTTTCTAAAATTGTTTTTCTTCATTAGTGTGCACTAACCGTTTCTATAACTCATCTGGCATATTGAACATATTGTAACTGTTATGGTGGAGCAAGTTGATATATTAATTATTATATAATGACAATAATATGGCAATAAGGCAAGATTAACTTTACCTATTATGTAGTGCTGTTAAAACAGCCGCTTGTGTCCACGCGCGCACGCACACAGGATCTTGCAGTATATTCCTCATTCCGGTAAAGTTCTGGCTGAGGAAACACACATCAATCTGATTATTTCTCCCCTTGGGGGGGTGTAACAGTAGCACCTTTCTCTGGAAGAAGGAATGGCATTTCAATAAACCAGAATTTAACAACAGTAAAAGACAGAGAAAATGAGGCGGCAACTACATCTTTATGGGAAATATGTACAAAATTACACATCGCAGTTTTGAAGTTGATGCTGTTTAAGGCTTTCGTTATCACCCAGTGACATTAGAATCAATATAGTCTTTGAAGGTAAGGGTTTTCTTGAAGGTAATTAATGCTCTCTGTATTTGGGAAGATCATAAACAATAATGATTTTTTTTTTAAAAAAGAGTTTGGTTTAAAAGTACAATGAGAAAACCTTCCATCCCCCAAAGTGAAAAAATCTGTTAAAAACCCGCACCTCATTTAAAAAGATAAAAAAAAAAAATTTAAAAAAAAAAAAAAAAAAAAACATCAACCCAACGTGATGACTTCCACACGGATGCGTTGTGTCTAAATAATTAAAAATAACTATATAAACTCTCAGCAGTGTTACACATGGAAATACACAAGTTAATAGTGTCATACTTAATTTCTGCATTTGAAAAAAAAAAAAACCCTAAATCTTACACAACAGACGTTGAAAGGTGTGACAAAGTAACAGTTTAATGCTGCTTCTTTCAAGCAGCTTGAACTTATAAAAATCAAAATTTTTCGCTTAAAAATACAAAGATTAGCGAAAAACTTTTTTTTTAAACTTTTAAATATTATTACTCTGCCAATAGTTTTTATTATAAAGAAATAAATACCTTCACCCAGTAAATTGTATTTATTTTATACATTTTAGTTTATCTTCACAGTTTCAGGGTACTTTCAGAGAAAAAAAAAAGAACTCCTGAATATTGAATATCGAATTCATATTTGTGGATACTAGACGGATTTTATTGTCTAGTATAATTTAACAGATCCAGGGACTCCCTCCTTTTTGAGGGGAGGCAAAGCCTATTTTATTATAATGTTGTGTAAATTCAGTTTTTCCCTTTCTTAATCGGTCTAAACACATATTAGAAAAGTCCAACATTAACACAGAAGAAGGCAACGTCAATACTCGTCCTCAGTTGGTCCCGACACGAATGTTAGGGTTTAACATGGGGTTGAGATTTGGGTCTGAAGCAGCCGAGGCCCGTCCAAGTTTAGCCATGATAATTATTAATGTAAAAAAAACAAGAAATCCAAGCAGAAGTAGCAAAAAAACTCGCTGTTTCCAAGACAAAGAGGTACGCTTTCCACCGCTGCGATTCCTGTACATTTTAGTTGGGGGGGGGGAAAGAAAAAAAAAAAAAAAAAAAAACACACAAACAATTTAATATTTAATATAATAATTAATAATTGTTTACATCTTGTATCAAACAAAACCTCTGAATACTAACTTGAGAATTCGAGCAAACCAGCTCAAAGTTGGCCTTCGCCGGTACTTGTCATCGTCGAAGTCGATCTGTGTGACAGAGCTGTGAGCGACGTCCCGTGTGTCGTAGAGCTTTCTTGGAGATGAGGCTAGCAAGGACAATTACGAATAGAAAGCAGAGCAAAAATAATTCATTTTTTGAAGCAACATTTGTTCAACGCTGCATTTCAATATTTTTTTTTCCTTTTACCAACAGGACGCGGTTCGGGAGACGCACCCTTTAAAACCCATGTTATTGAAAGACTGACATTTAGAGACACTTGAAGTGAACACCAGGAGAGCTACAGTAGCTGTTCAGTCAATGCACTTTTGTGGCAGTGAATATGGGATGCGGTGTCTCCACAAATTTTTTTCAAAGTATGAAATAATAGAAAAAGAGAATGTAAGAATACGAGATTGTTTGAGTCCAGATCTGTCTCCTATTGGCCAATGATACGAAATTGAATCAGATAGCAGCTCAACAGAAAAATGTGGAATTAGTTTTAAAAAAAATTTCCAGATCTGTCTCCTATTGGCCAATGAAACGAAATTGAATCAGATAACAGAGACCAAGTTTGGTTGAGCAGCTAAATAAAAAAAAACATATAGAAATAATTGAAAGAAACTGGATGTACATCTATAAACTAAAGTTTTGAAGAATGGGGTTGCCTTCCTATGATGTATCAAAGTCACCTCCAGTTTGACTTGTGTCCCTGAGGGAAAGAAGTCGGATGGCTTTAAGTTTCCTTTACCTGTGTGTATTGTGATGGTGTCAGACGTAGTGGCAGTAGTGAAATTTATCGCAACGTGTTCCTGCTTGTGCGCGTCCCCGTTTTTACGAGGACCTCCAAGGTCTTCCTGTGCTGATGGTGCCACGGAGGTCGTCTGTGCACTGAAGCTGGCGTTGTACGACTGACTGGGGTATACGTTACTTTGTTCTTGTGCTGGGGAGACAAAAGAATGTTTTCATCATATGATCACACACACACACACACACAATGTACCGTGTGCAAAACCGGACGGTAAACGGACACATGATAAGGCTTACCATCGAACGTGGACCAGTCTGTGTAATCTGTGATATCGTGATTGGTGTTCCCCTCCCGGACCTCAATGGGCTCTTCAAACTGTCAGTTACAGACGACTTTATATTAATGTGTGAACGTGACATTTGTACAATCTGAGAATGATATATATAGAGAGGTCGCCAATTTAACAGGTCCATTCTTCTGATTTAATGTGTCCATAAACAGAGTTCATTTGCAACTATCTCCTGCATTGGAGGTCACACTCTCTCTGGCTGCACTTAAACTTGGCAGTGGAAAAAGTTCTTTAAGCGTAATGAATATTTTTGTTTGTTTTTTTTTTTCTCAAATATATACAGTGCACCTATTCAAATAAATGCTGTTCAAATGCTCCCACATGATACTTCCTGGAAGTGAAATTTCCAGCACTTCAAAACCGTAATACATCAATTCTTTGAGTTTTTGGTGTCTGCATAGTTTTGAAATATGCACAATACACTGACCATAAACTTGAAAGTCTTTCTCCCTCTTAGCGAATTAGTTAAATACTCTTGAGCAAAGCACAGCACCTTGTAACCCCCCCGTATCAAGGGCTGTTACATTTAAATAACATAACTTGAGCAAAGCACAGCACCTTGTAACCCTCTTGTATCAAGCGCTGTTACATTTAAATAACATAGAATAATAGATCAGTTGCACCAGTCACAACTGGATTATGTAAATTATTGAATGCAAAAATGTATTCATGTACTGTTACGAAATGACTTAAATGACTGAAAACCTCCAAAGACAATTTAGAAGGTTTAAAAAGAAGGTTTGTTTTGGCATCTTCAGCAACAGCAGAAAGTCATCACAATAGCTTTTATATCCGAATTTGGATCATTACGGTTCTAATAGACTCTTACCAGTGGCAGTCCCAACCCAGCCCTAGCCCAATTAACGGATGACAGCTGTTCTTTCAGCACGTCTGCGATCGGGCTGGCCAAATTAGAGGGGGGGAACACTGGACCCTGACAGGTAGGACACTGGTATCCCGCTGGAGCCGTATGGCGCGGCTGCTGAGTTGCAAAATTATTGAGACAAGACCAGTGAAACACATCTGTGGACGGATGAAAAAAAAACCAAAAACAACACGTTTATATCATTCAAAGAAGTTTGGGATGTATTTTACGAGGTTATTATGGAAAAGAAAGTACAACAATCGTACCGTAGCAAATCAGTCTGACAGTGTCTTGCGAAGACAGCGGGGTCTTGCACAAAGCACAGTTAGGGTTGTAATCGCTGTCCTGAAGCCACTGCAAATATGACTGCACTATACACTGGAAGGGCAGAAAACGCAGAATTTTAATGTGATCACGATGTGTGGCAAAAATGTCGCATCAGTGTACACAAACAGTGTGATACTGACCTTGTTGTGATTGGAGACGAGGCAATGCTCGCAAACATTTACACGATGTTCAAAGCAGAATAAATTGGTCACTTTTCTCTTCGGGCACTTGCACAGACCCATGGCCACCTGTTCTATCTGGATGATATCCAAAAGTCAGGCAGGTTCGGAACAGTGTACAGAATGAGGAGAACACATTGATAGACATTACAAAAATGTTTCCCATTATGGACTGATGTGCATCTGCAGTTAAAATGTTCCCGGTAAATGAATTAATCGTGCAACTCATTTTCGCACTTCAAATGACAAAACAAGCATGATTTGTTTGTGACAAACCCATTTCACTGAGATTAAAACTATGACATCATACTACCAAGAGGGGCCGGTGCCATACTTTGAGAAGCACTGCTGTAAATCACTCTTTGTTCATTGTGATGGAAGGGCGTTGCTTCTCCATTTAATTTCTTACTTTCATCAGCCGCAGCGTACTTTTCTCCACGTTGTCAAGGTCATTTGAAAAAACACAAACATCCTTCACAAGAAGACAAGTATTACTTACACAAATTGTACGACTAACTTTGTATTATGTGCACGCAACTGATGTACCATCACAACCTCTTTTTTTTCTAGCATCTGTTGCTCGGATTCATGTTTGCTTACACTGCAGTTTGGATTATAAATTGAAATGTAAAACAAAATGGGAAATCATTTTGAAAGATGCTTGAGAGGTCAGCGTCATCTACATGAAGGTTAGTAAAAGAAGCTGAATAAATACACACACTACATCAGAGGTGCTCAACTGCTGGGTCCCAGTCAGGCACAGCACAGAAAAAATAAATTACACACACCTTTACCATCATTTATCATATAAAGAAATTACCGTATTTTCCGGACTATAAGTCACACTTTTTCCTCATCCTTTGGCTGGTGCGACTTATACTCCAGAGCGACATAGTCCGGAAAATACAGTAATTTCTTTATATGATAAATTATGATGGTAAAGGATGTCCCATTTTAATGATAACAGGATTCATTGAGTAAATTGGACCTAAATAGACTTGAATATTTTGTTGCTGCAAACAATAATAAAGAACAGATTTTGATTCTCTCCCTGGTTGACCTGTGCCTCTTGACACATATCAAGACGTTGTCTTAAATGACACACCTCTGTGGAGTAAATACTAATTGTGTACCGCAAAGGCTTAACTTACATCTTAAGTACACAATACTAACCCATTCCTCCGTCCCCACCTTTCCCTCTCCTCTGCACTACACCTTCGACTCATGCGCACTATTCATTTGCACTATTATGAATAAAGTGCTACCTCACCCTCGACTAAATAAGATGATTCATTACTGCTTTCCTTGATTCACCACTGTCATCATTTATTCTGTAATTAATGAGTGATGTCACAGCACATGTCCTGATGTCACAGCCCCCCATATGCCCTGTATGTATGGCATATATGACAATAAAGTTGACTTTGACTTTGATTATTGGCAGATAGGATGTGACAGAAATAAAAAAATATTCTGAAAATACATTCATTTTATCTATATATATATATATATATATATATATATATATATAAATGCAAATTGAGTTAGAAGTCCTGTTTTGCAAAAATAATAATTGTTTTATTACGGCCCCCTGATCTAATTCTGTTGCTTCAGTTCTTGCAATTAAATCGTGAAATCCCATAAATCTGCACCGAGGTAGTGGAAAAATTGAATTAATGTCACCAAAATTGAACGTGACATATTGAGGACAATCTTTAAAACGTATTAAAGTCTGAAAATATTGTTTTCTCCAGAGAAACTGCTAAATCTGACACAGGACTGTCAATGCATAATCACTGTTTGTTTAAGGATTTTTTTTTCACACGACATTTAATGTGCCGACCGAACACAGAGATACGAACACATTCCCTTTAGAGTGATTCATTTGACAGCTACAAAACCCAACCCCTTAGCTTGATATAATGCCTATTATTATCTCTAAACTTATTTGGTAATAGTTCCCCTCTTGTTTTAAAAAAATTAAAATCAAACAATCAAAATTACAATCAAAAATATAACCAGACACTAGTGTGTGGCCAATGTGACGTCTGTTGATTAAAGCTAGCTGTTACTGCGTACACTGACAGCTGCCGTGAATATCACTATAATAACAGTAAAGGCTGCTTGTAAGATTGTTCTTAAATATTTTATGACGACTCAATGTACGCCTCATACACACCGGCAGCACTAGCACACGTTCATGAGCTGTCATTAGCTTGATAGTTTAGTTAGAGAGTATAAGGTGAGTTAACGTTAGCCAGTCATTAGTCGTAGCTACGGGAGCTGAGGAAGTGGGGCAGCAGTTGATAAATAACTTCGTGTTACCTGTCACACAGACTTCGTTCAGGCCCTGTTTTGTTCAAGTGTTTCGGCTGCTGTCATTTACGCTTCCGTGTGCAAATCTCAGGAAAGGTGGGTCCACTGACTGTCTGTGACAGTCATCAGCAGAGGTTCACCGCAGTTAGCCGATGCCTCTTCCTCAACTCTGTTTATGTGCCACGTCTCTTCCGCTTTGTTGGTCAGTTTGATACGGCTTAAATATTTACTCTTCTGCCCCCTGCTGCACTGGAGTACGCAGCGCTCCAGTGCAGGCAGTGCACATAGCAAGCTGCCATATATTCTTAAACCCATGGCATGTCTGATATACATAACTATATGGAATGTCAGTTCTTAGATTAACAGTTCTTAGATTAAGATAAAAACACTATGATAAGAAAAAAATGTTATATTGTGCATTTAGTCACTGTTTTGTTACATTATATCAACCACAAAATTAGATATATTTATTTACTGTATAATTCAACAAGCATTCAGGGTCAGGGGTACATACATAAAGCTTTTGCGTTTAAAAAATAAAGCTGCACTATTTGGATGGATATAGACTTTTTTTTTTTAATTGCAGGAGTATCTAGAATTACAAAAAAAAATTGTCTATATACATACCAATAGTGCAGCTTTATTTTTGTAATGCAAAAGCTTCAAAAACAATTTAAAAGGGATGGATGGTTCGACAGCCAATTGACACGGGAATTTTCTACTATATACATTTATCCATATATACATGCATTTTTGAGGGATATTTCACAGCTTACATTTTTCTGTCGCACATATATCGGTGGCATTTTCAGTGTTTTACCAAGTTTTTGGAGTTGGACTGTCTGTCTATGTCCAGCTACTCTACTTCAAGATGAGAAAAACACTGCAGGACAGTGTTCCGTAATTTATCATCAACTGTGTCCTATATTCATTAGGAATAAAATGTACACACACGTAGACCCATTTTTAGCCTAATTTAATAACTGAATTTTTGTGGGTGCAGCAGAATGGGTCTCTCTGTACTGCACTGTTTTTGATGTTTGTTTCATCCTGCATTTTGTTGCTGCTCTTCAACAGATGGTGCACCAAGGGATAAGGCAAGAGCAAAGATACAGACATTAGACATCTGTCTACTGATAGCTGTCGAGTAAACACAATATACGAAGGTAAAACAGGAAACTATTTATATATCTGAATAGTAAACCATTATAAAAAAAATACTTCTACCTTCTTTCATTCATTAATATATTATCTACTGCTGTGGAAATTGTACTAATTATCGATTATCGCAAGTCAGTAAAATCCGAATCTGTGAAATAGTTTAGTTTAAAGTAAGGAACACTCTGAAAGGAGATTAATGTGGTTTTCTCTTGCATTTGTAATGAGCCGTTAACTGAGATGGCCGGATCCGTACAAATTCGTCTTCATCTGATGTGACGCTGTTATGTTAATGAATAACATTTGAAGTTAGTCTCTCTGAGGGTGTCTGCTGAATATTAATGTGACCAAACGAGACCCTTCATTCACGACATCAACACAACACGCAGCAATTGTACACTTCGAAAACTCACGTACACACAATACAATCATGCACTTCCTTTGTATGTGAATTGGTTTTGGTCCAATTACTGTGATATTTTTTACCACAATAAACACTATACCAGGGGTTTTGAAACAGACCTTTTTACCACAATAAACACTATACCAGGGATGGGAAACAGACCAAATGTACAGTAGGTGTGGATGATTGTTTGTCTATGGACTACCTGTGGTGTGGCTTCATCTTCCCTGTCAGCCATAATGAAGTGAACGCAAGTGAAGAAATCAATAAACATTTTATATACATAAAGTGACTTCCTTATGTTTTACATAGAAGCGTTTATATATGTGCTTATATATTTTAACGATTTAAAAAGACACAATATTTTCAGTTTTAAGTTTCAGAGGATGAACGAATGACTCAGTTCGTCAGTCACAGTGGCGCCCCCAAGAGGTGACCAGGGATAGCGCTGGCCAAGCATCTGCCTCCTTTATTTTCCCCCTGACCACAGACTCTATAGTTGTTGACTGTATAAGGCAGTGTTTCCCAACCTTTTCTTAAGCCACAGCACATATTTTTCATAAGAAACTCTGTTTAAATTTACTCTCAATTTATTTAGATACTCAAGAGTGTTTAGTTGAAGACAGTGTTGATATACTCGTAGAAATTGAAGAAAGACACTCACTCATTTTCTTTTTTTTTTATAGCCGTCTGCTGCCACCTAGCAGAAGAGAGGGACTAAACTGAAGGCATATGGATTTTCCTTGTCTTGGCTTAAGACTCCAATAGTGTGCTGGGTTCCAATCCCAAATAAAATCTTACAGCGAACAACACAGACTGACTCCGGGCACACACAGCCAATTGGGTCCCTTAAGGTGAGACCAACCTGCCATGTGACTCACGCGACCCTCCCCACTCCCCCCCATTCACACCTTGACCCCAGTGATCACACCATCCTGCTATTGGATTGGGGCACGGTCACTTCCCCTGGTTTGCTATAATGCGGGGGTTTCTCCAACCTTTTGGAAACCGAGAGCTACTTCAAGGGTACTGAGCAATACGAAGAGCTCCTTGTTTGAGACGCGCTTCCTGAGGACACGCAGTAGCGTCGTGAATATCATTAGAAGTGTAGTGGACTCAAAAACAGCAGCAACGCAATTAATTATAATTGTTTCACCCTCTCGTTGACCAGTCTCATTTTATTTTAACATACTGCATGGGGACCTTCGATAGTCCACGAGTGCTGCCTGGTGCCCTTTCGCAATGTGTTGGTGACCCCTGCTATAATACCTCTCTTTTCAGGTATTCAGCCGCTCTTGAGGGGTAATTTCCATAATTTTTCCAGCAGTCAGTTACAACCAACGAAGAACCCTCTTGGATAATAGAAGGGACGTCTTCAAGAAACCACAGCCCAGTTTCCCTCTACAAAACTGCTTCACATGTTCCTGCCTAAGATTTCATTGGCCACATTGGCCTAACCCTGTAAAAATGAAATGTGATGTGAAAGAAAAATAAAATGCGAGCAGTGTCTATGTCTCCTCTCGCCCTTTCTGTAATTATGTTACAGTATATGCAAATGTGCAGTGCATGCATCCGTGTACATGAGCGCAGATGCATGGTCTTGAATCGTCACTTACTGTATATGGCCAGTGATACATTCTGTGGAATTACAACCAGAGCACAGGGACATGTGGAAAAGGGCATTTGTAAAGCAGCCGGTGCAGTCAGATGGAAGGAAAATCTAGACAAATGACAGAGGCACTGCAGGACAAACCAGCCCTGGAGCTGAGGAAGCGTGGTTCTAAAACACCAACAGGAGAGGTTGTACTGGAGCACATTGATTGATTGAGTGTGCCAACTATTGATCAGCTATCAGCTCTATCTGTAAGGGAAAGTGTTGAGGTTCAGGCGCGGCGTGTTTAATGTATTAGCTCCCTGATGTGAGTATAAAGGGTCTGGTACCTAAATCAGAGGCTGACTGAAAATCAACATGGTCTCTGCAGCCCCAGCCTTTTGTGCAGTCATGACATTTTGACAGGAAAGTCTTTTAAAACATGTAGAATTGAACGAATGGTCAGGTTTAGTAACGGCTTAAATTCGCTGCCTGCCAGCACATTGTTGAAGCATTTTATTTTTATTTCAACCAACCGATGTTAGCAAAATTATGTAATATCGTTATCGGTTTTTTCCTCCAATAATGAAAACCCAATAATGGAATGCCTGGGTTATCGCCAGATGACATGTGCACTTGAAATAGTTTCGGGGAAAAACGGCTGTATATGAAAGTCAAGATCACTAGATGGCAGCATTGCAGCTCATTTTATTAATCTATTTTGATAATCCGACAGCAACTAATAGAGTGGTATGTACAGATAAATATATAAATATTGCCAGACGCTCAATAGTATTTTAATTTGGGGGTGGGTGGGTAAAAAAAACTTCTGATATCGCAATAGGAAATTAAGTGTTTGGACAATATCGGCATATCGGATATCGGACAAAAAAGGTAATATTGGACATCATAGATTTTTTTTGGTTTTTTTTTATTTTAAATATACAGTTTTAATGTTGGTCAGATTAAGCGGGAAAACAAAATTAGTATAAAGACGGTCATATTGCAGATAGAGATGCTAAGGTAAATTAAACAAGGGATCATCAAAGGAGACAGAATAAGGATGAACGACAGATTCATGTGGTTGTGATGTCACTCAGTGTCCATGAAATAATGTCACACTCCACTGGGGGTCTCTGTCTCTGTTTTGCGGTGTCAGTGTCCATGAAATAATGTCACACTCCTCTGGGGGTCTCTGTCTCCACAGGGTGCGGTGGAAAAGTGTATTTGCACAAAGTTCACGGAGCAGCCTGTTATCATATGTATCTATTCGTGTGCGTTTGGGTTGTTTTTCTCTCATTCCCCTGCGACTGATAACTGAAAACGAAGCCAAATCCAACACAAAGCCACGAGTATGCCAAAATAATTCGAACTCTAATTACACCGATGATATGGTTACTGTTATCAGGACATAGGCTTATAAGCAAATCCATCAGACTTTTGCCCTGAATACAATTGGATTGACTGATTGATTTATGTATGTAAAGTGAAGGGCACAGAGAGGGACACAAAGAAAACCACAGAGTGTGAGAGTGGGTCGGGGAAAAGGCGTCATGGATGCATGGATGAAGCCTGGGTCCCTGATGGGGGAAAGAAGAGTATTGAATCAGACAGAGACAAATGGAGTGTGAGAGACAGGGAGAAAGGAATTCAGACATATGCCTGCTGACCTAAACCCTTTTTGCTCAACTGATCGATACAGGAAAATGCATGAGTGTGTGTGTGTGTAATTGTGTTTTAGTGCAGTTTGGAGGGTAGGTCGGTCTGTGTTGCTCCCCATAAAGAAAAACATACAAAAACAGAACAAAAAATATTGAATTCTTCACAAAAAAAAAAGCTGTGGCTTTAACACTAATTACACAAATTCTGACTTCTGAGACTCAACCGTATAACACTATCTAAGTTGTAAAAAATTAATTTTTTATATATATATATACTTCCTATATATATATAACTAATTTTAAAAAACATTATTGCTCGACTGATTATCGCTAAAATGTAATATCTGTAAAAATCTTTAGCTAAAGATTTTTTTTTTATGCA